ATGATGATGATGACCACGATGATGGTTGAAATGCTGATGATGGTGATGCTTGCTCTGATGATGATTCGGATAATGATGATGATGGTGATGGTGGTGGTGACTGTGATGATGGTGCTGATGCTGAAACGGATGACGGTGATTGTGATCATGGTGATGGTGATGATAGTGATGATGATGATGATGACGATGATGATGGCGATATTGATGGTGACGACGACGATGATGATGCTGGTGGTGGTGATGATTTTAGTGTTGATGCTGCTGCTGATGATGATGACGGTGGTGGTGACGATGCTGATAACGAGAGTACGCATGCGTGTGAGGATGCGGACTGGGATGATGAGAACGATGATGCTGATGATGATGATGATGATGATGATGATGATGATGATGATGATGATGATTGTTGTGGTGGTGATGATGCCGGAACCGATGACTATGACGATGATGATGACGATGATTTTGATCAACCTCTTGATGATGATGCTGAGAGTGATGATCGGGATGGGGATGGTGATACGGATGATAATGATGATGATGATGATGATGGTGGTGGTGTTGATGATGATGATGACGTGGATGACGATGGTTATCACGATGATGGTGACGATGCTGATGACGGTGGTGATGATGATGATGTTGATGATGATGATGCTGATGATGATGATGATGATGATGATGATGATGATGATGATGACGATGAAGATGATGATGCTGATGGTGGTGGCGGTGGCGATGGCGATGGTGATGGTGATGGTGATGGTGATGGTGATGGTGATGGTGGTGAAGATACTGACGATATTGATGATGGTGATGGTGGTAGTGATAGTGGTGATAATGTTGACGACGGCGAGGAGGAGGGGGAGGGGGAGGAGGAAAAGGATGAAGAGGACTCGAGGTGATATGGTTTGGGGCGCCTTAGCCCCGCTGGTGGGCCCAGCGACCTGGTGTCTCGACCCTGTGGGGCACTTTTGGGCCGTGGGCCGTCTTGGGGCGGTTTTGAAAGCCCCTTGGGCCGTCTTGGAGCGTCGGGAAGCCGAAAAGGCGAGAACGCCAAACATTTGTCAAAGCATGAAGGACCACATATTGATTCGCCTTTCTTGGGAGGCCTCTTGGGGCGTTTCGGGGGGCATCTGCAGCAGTCGGGAGGCCATCTTGGGCGTCTTGGACCGATCGTCCGACCGCTCGGGACCATCTTCGACCGTCTTGGGGGCCTCTTCGGGTCCTGTTGGCCCGTCAGGGCCCTCTCGGAGTCCCAGAAAACCAGGCGACACGCCCCAAGAGGAGGGCGCCTGGTGGGGTGCCGCGCCCGTGACGGCCGCGTGACCGCCTCGGGGCCACTTCGGCAGGCCAGAAGGGGCGGGAAGGGGCATGTTGTGCCCTAAGGGGGGCAGGAATTGTCCGCCCAGGCGGCCCGTTGGGCTGAAGCCCCAGTCTCCGAGTCACGAAATTTGTGCGCGATTGGGGGGCTGGTGAATGCCAGTCTTCAGGCTCGCGTGTCTCATTACATCACCCAGTATACGACAGCGATATCATGATGGACGCTCCGATGCGGTTTCGCATCAACCGGGTGCGGGATTTGATCTGGTTTGCGATGTCGAAGTCGTCGGTTGGCCCAGGCAGGAGGCCCTTTTGCCAAAACATCGATTGCGGAAAAATACCAAAAACATAGTTTTCATGAATACGTGAAAATTACCAACAATATGCGCAGACACACATATATGTGTCGTGCGCACAATTGTTGTATACATTCGTTGGTGTGTCTCTCGCATTGGAGGGGCGTGCCACTTATCTTTCGCGAGCCGAGAGCTATTTGGCATGCCGCTCCAATGCAGTTTTGTTTGTATACGGACGTTGCGCCGCCGCCGATTGGTTTGCAGGGCAGGTCCAGGTTGGCCCGGGGAAACGCGTCGACGCCGGCCCTCCTCGCGGGTGCCCCCGCCAAAGGGCTCTAGAAGGTCCAGAAGGGAAGCTCGAGAGGCCACCCGCCGAAGGGATCCATCCTCCCTGGGTCCTCTCCTCTCGGGGGCCTTTCCGAAGCCCTCCAGAAATTCGGAATGGGCCCCAGACGACCCGAGAGGGTTCCAAAAGGGCCCCCTTGGGCCGCCCAGGGGGGGCCATTTGGGTCAAAATGTATTGGCCCCCCCCTGGGTTCAGAGACCTTGTCTGCGTTTGCGCCCTCTCGGGGTTTGTCCGGGACTTCGGGGGCGCGTCGCGGGGGGCCCAGGAGACGTCCCAGAAGGGCCCAAGAAGGGCCCAAGAGGGTCCAAAGAAAGGCTCCCGACAGTGGCACCTAGAGGGCCCTCTTGGGTGCCATTGGGGGGGTTCTCTTCCTTGGGCCCTCTTGGGCCGCTCTTTGGGCCTCTTGGAGCCTCGTTGAACTCTCTGGGGGCTCATTCGGGACTTCGGGGGGGCTTCGGCGGGGCCCCAAGACGAAGGGCCCAAGAGGCCCAGGAAGATTCCAAGAGGGCTCCAAGAGCGCTCCAAGAGGGCCCTCCAAAGAGGCGCAAAGTATGTGCGCGAGTGTGCCTCTTTTTGTATGCCTCTGGGCGCAATCTTGGGTCCTTTTCGGGCCCGTGGGGGGGCCTCTTGAGCCGTCCAGGTGCTTTTTTGAAATTCTTGCGGGGCTTCGGGAAGGCCCCGAAAGGGGTCCTACAGGGCCCCAGGAATATGAGGCCCGTTGGCTTTGTTTTGAGCTAGTGTTGCGCGGATCTAGAAGTGATTCTCCGGCTCCTCTCAGGCCGTCTCGGGGGGGGTGGGGGTGGGGGGCGACGTGCGAGGGGGGTGGGGGGGCGGCGTGGCGCGGATGAGTGAGCGTTGTCCTTGTGGGCGGCGGTGCTCAGGGGGTGGTTTGAACAAGCGTGCCACGGATCACCACCCGAACAAGGAGGATGAGTAATTTACCACGGAGCGGCGGCGCACCCATCACACCCGTTGAGATGGATAGCGAATCAAAGGAGATGGCACTGCAGACGTGGCGCCAGCTCGGTCACGGAAATCATCAGCCAGAAATTACAGTTGCCACGCGTGGGCCAACCTAGCTGCGAGTCCACGGCGTACAGGCTGAAGCACTGGGAGGTGAAAGCCGACGAGGAGAACTGGCAAGGCAGGGATTCGGAAACTGGCCAGGTCCGCATCGAGAAGGACTCCGAGGTCGGAAGCCCAGCAGCAGCCGGCCCACCCTCAGAAGATACCCCGCCGTCACAGAGCTGGTCGGCCAAAGTGGACGACGACGAGACAGAGAGCGAGAACAGGATAGAGGCATTGACAATACACCTACTGGCAGCATCGAGATCAGCAACGGCCAGCAGTGAAGATACCACAGACAATTCTAACGAGTTTGAGGACAACAACGAGCCTGTCGAGCAGCAGCACGTTAGCATCCAGCTGCGCAAAGAGTGTATATATATATATATACAGATATGTATATAGCACGGGCCGCGAGACCGAGCAGAACATGGCCATGGTAAAGTACACGGACAACCCACAGACCGAGCAGAACATAGACAAGGTAAAGGACAAGGACACCCATAATCACGTGCAGAACATAGACAAGACGAAGTACACGGACACCTCGGGCTATGGGGCACGGAATGTAGTCAACCCATCGCCCGAGAAGGAAGCAGCGCCAATCATCGTGGCCGCCGAGATCCACGACAGGAAGGAGCACGCGGACAACCAGTCGAAGGAGCAGTAAATCGACAATTCGGAGTACACACACACACACATCGGGCGATGGTGGACGTGATGCAACGAACCCCGTGATCGAGGGCGAGAAGGAAGCAGCGACAACTTACGAGGGCGCCGCGATCCGCGGGAAGGAGAAGACCACCACGCTGAAGGAGATGCTCGAGTTGGCGAGGTAGCCGCCTCGCCGCGCCTCGGGGGGAGCAGCGCCGGCGCCTGCGGGGAGCCCGCGCGAGCCCGCGCGGCGGACGAGGCAGCCCGAGCTGCGGGCCCGCGCGGCGCCGCAGGCGACGTCGACGAGAGAAGCAGCAAGGTGGGCACCGCAGCCTGGCGGCAGGCATAGTAGATATCTCGTCGCCAGAGGCAAAGACGAGAGAATAAGTCGACGAGAGAAGAAGCAAAGTCGGCAAAGAAGCAAAGTAGACACCTCGTCGCCATAGGCGGATAATGACGAGGCAGAGCGCGAAAACAGGAGAGCAGTACTGGCAAAGCGCCTACTGGCAGCCGCGGGATGAACAGGAACTGGCAGTGCAGACTCCACGGGCACCCTGAGCGCGAACGGCGAGGACAACAACAAGGCAGCAGAGACGATCCTCGACGAAGACCAGCAGCTCGAAGAGTACAGCACATGTATCGAGCTGAACCTAGACGAGGTAAAGCACACAGACAACCCGCTGACCGAGTTGAAGACCGACAAGGTAAAGGGCACGAACAACCCGAAACGCGTGCAGTACATGGACAAGGTGAAGTACGCGGGCACCTCGGGCGATGGGGGACGGAATGTAACTAACCCGTCGCTCGGGGAGGAAACAGCTACATCCAGCGTGGGTGCCGAGATCTTCGACAGGAAGAAGCGCACCTCGCTGAAGGAACTGCTCGAGCTGGCGCAGAAACCGCTTCGTTGGGACGCTGGAGGCGCAGCGCTGGCGGCGGCGGGGAGCCCGCCCGCGACCTCGCGGTGGCCGCGGCGGGCTGAGCCGCGGGTCCGCGCGGCGCCGCAGGCGGGCCCGCCGCGGGAGGGAGGAGAGGCGGCTTCGCTGCCGGGGGAAAGGCTGTGGAAAGGCTCCTCCTCCTCCTCCTCCTCCTCCTCCTCCTCCTCCTCCTCCTCCTCCTCTTCCTCCTCCTCCTCCTCCTCCTCCTCCTCCTCCTCCTCCTCCTCCTGCTCCTCCTCCCCCCCGTCGACGACGCCCACGCCGGCGCCGCGACGGCGATGCCGACGCCGACGCCGGCGCCGGCGGCGGCGGCGGCGGCCTCCTCTGCGGTGCTCGGCCCTTTGGCGGGCCGGCCTGGCGGCTGCTGTCGGGCCTGGCGAGGCGAACGACCTTCTTCGAGCGGGCCGCTGCCACCCTAGGCCGCCCCCCCTCCCCAGTCGCGCCGCGGGGCCGCGCGTCGCGGGGCGGCCCGCCGAGGCGGCCGCCGCGGTTCGGCTGGCACTTCGCTCGCTCTCGTTTGCTCGCTCTCGCTTGCTCGTTCGTTCGGCCTCCTGGCTATTTGTATATGTTTGTCTGTCTGTTTGTCTGTCTGTATGTTTGTGTGTATGTCTGCATGTACGTATGTCTATCTATATATATATATATATATATATGTAAGTTTGTATATACTCTGATTATATGTGTATGTGCGTCTGTCTGTCTGTCTGTCTGTCTGTCTGCCTGCCTGCCTGCCTGCCTGCATGCATGCATGCATGTATGCATGTATGTATGTATGTATGTATGCATGCATGTATGTATGTATGTATGTATGTATGTATGTATGTATACATATATGTATGTATGTATGTATGTATGTATGTATGTATGTATGTATGTATGTATGTATGTATGTATGTACGTGTGTGTCTGTTTGTCTATATGTATAGATATATGGATGGATTGATGGGTGGATTGATGTATGTGTGTGTATGTGTGAATGGATTGATGCCGGTATGTGTGTACGTATGCATATGTCTATACGTATATGTGTTTATATGTCTATATGTATGTGATGATGTATGTATACATATAACGGCGCACCGGGTCCGGGGGCCCGGGGCCGGGACCCCGACCACAAATGTGCGCCCCGGGGGGCCCGGAGGCTCGTCGGGGCTTGCCGGAGGCCTCCCCGGTCAGACAAGACGGCCCCAGGAGCGCCCAAGACGGCCCAAGAAACTTCCAAGAGGCCTCCAAGAGGGCTCCGAGATGCTGAAGATGGCCTCCAGACGTCCAAGGACGCCCCCAAGAGGCCCCAAGAAGCCTCCAACATGCGTCCCAAGAGGGCCCCTAGACGCAAAAATTGGCCCATTCCCTTCGTAAAACGTACATTTTTCAACAAAGTTGCTTTTTGGGCTTTCCGACGTTACAGGACGGCCCACGAGGCGCCCAAGACCGCCCCAAGACGGCCCAAGAAGCCCCCAGGACAGCCCAAGAGGGCCCCAAGACGGCCCAAGAGGCGCCCAAGATGGCCCAAGAGGGCCCCAAGACGGGCCCAAGAGGGGGCCCAGAGGGGGACCACGAACCGCAAGCTCGAGCCTTCCGCCCCAAGAGGCCGCCAGGAGGCCCCCAGGAGGCCCCTCAAGAGGCCCCAGGAGACCCCAGACGTCCAAGGACGCCCCCAAGAGGCCCCAAGAAGCCTCCAACATGCGTCCCAAGAGGGCCCCTAGACGCAAAAATTGGCCCATTCCCTTCGTAAAACGTACATTTTCAACAAAGTCGCCTTTTGGGCTTTCCGACGTTACAGGACGGCCCAAGAGGCGCCCAAGACCGCCCCAAGACGGCCCAAGAAGCTTCCAAGAGGGCCCCAGGACAGCCCAAGAGGGCCCCAAGACGGCCCAAGAGGCGCCCAAGATGGCCCAAGAGGGCCCCAAGACGGGCCCAAGAGGGGGCCCAGAGGGGGACCACGAACCGCAAGCTCGAGCCTTCCGCCCCAAGAGGCCGCCAGGAGGCCCCAGGAGGCCCCTCAAGAGGCCCCAGGAGACCCCAGACGTCCAAGGACGCCCCCAAGAGGCCCCAAGAAGCCTCCAACATGCGGCCCAAGAGGGCCCCCAGACGCAAAAGTTGGCCCATTCCCTTCGTAAAACGTACATTTTCAACAAAGTTGTCTTTTGGGCTTTCCGACGTTACAGGACGGCCCAAGAGGCGCCCAAGACCGCCCCAAGACGGCCCAAGAAGCTTCCAAGAGGGCCCCAGGACAGCCCAAGAGGGCCCCAAGACGGCCCAAGAGGCGCCCAAGATGGCCCAAGAGGGCCCCAAGACGGGCCCAAGAGGGGGCCCAGAGGGGGACCACGAACCGCAAGCTCGAGCCTTCCGCCCCAAGAGGCCGCCAGGAGGCCCCCAGGAGGCCCCTCAAGAGGCCCCAGGAGACCCCAGACGTCCAAGGACGCCCCCAAGAGGTCCCAAGAAGCCTCCAACATGCGTCCCAAGAGGGCCCCCAGACGCAAAAGTTGGCCCATTCCCCTTCGTAAAACGTACATGTTCAACAAAGTTGTCTTTTGGGCTTTCCGACGTTACAGGACGGCCCAAGAGGCGCCCAAGACCGCCCCAGTACGGCCCAAGAAGCTTCCAAAAGGGCCCCAGGACAGCCCAAGAGGGCCCCAAGACGGCCCAAGAGGCGCCCAAGATGGCCCAAGAGGGCCCCAAGACGGGCCCAAGAGGGAGCCCAGAGGGGGACCACGAACCGCAAGCTTGAGCCTTCCGCCCCAAGAGGCCGCCAGGAGGCCCCCAGGAGGCCCCTCAAGAGGCCCCAGGAGACCCCAGACGTCCAAGAACGCCCCCACGACGCTTCGCGTCACCAATTTCTTCTCACAACGATTCCTGGGTCTGTGACTCGACAGAACCTAAGCGCGCGCGAAGCGCGCGCGTGGTTCTAGTTTATATGTATGTGTGTACGCTTATATGTTTATGTGTATGCATGAGCGTGTGCACGTATGTTTGTATGTGTGTATGTATGTATGTTTGTATGTACGTACGTATGTATGTATGTATGTATGTATGTGTGTATGTGTGTATGTATGTATGTGTGCACAGGGAGTTCAAACAACTAGACGGGCATGCCCGGCTTCAGTCTCGCGGGCCTACTCTACAACCGTATGTCTAGAATGCGTTTTTTTTTTTTGTCTCATGCCTTGCCGTCACCGCGCGAGTGATAATCGAAAACATGGTTTAAAAGGGTCACGGCTATCTTCCCCCACCTCCTCTTCCTCCTCCTCTCCCTTTTCCTTCTCCCCGTCCTTCTCCTCAGCCCTTCTGGCTCCAGCCATTTTGGAGGAGCTTGTCGGCAGCGAACTTCAGAAGGGCTTTGCTGTCGCGAGTCACAGTGGCTCGGTGCTTGTCTCGGCGCGCGCGCATGGCCCCTGCGCCCTGGCAGAGTCGCCCTGCACCTTACCGCCATGCGAAGTGGAGGTGCGGTTCATGCGGATGCGCTCGCAACCTGGGCTGGATGTGGCAATGCAAGCACTGCAAGGCCCAGTGGAGCGGCTCCACGTGCTCGGAGGTCGACCCGGAGCGTCGCCCTGCCCAGGATGGTGCTGGTACTCGTCTTCATGATGCTGGCAACTCTCGTGTTGTTCCGTTTCCTCCTGGCCCCGTCGGCGGAGGTGGTGGACCAAGCACTGGCGGCATCAACATGGAGGGTCTCTGCGCGGAGGACCTTCAGCAGCTGGCCGCCATTGCCACTCGCCAAGGCCAATCGGACCTGGCCAAGCAGTACAAGTCCGCCCGCGCGAAGTTACCTCAACCTGCTCGTGCTCAACCTGAGGCCTCGCTCCACACCCGTGCCTCGCAGACCCAGAGCAAGATCAGGCAGGTGGAAAAGAAGCTTGACACGGAGATCTCGAAGCTGGAGCGCTGGCGGGAGGCGACCGCGGCGCTTGAAACCTCCATTCAGGAATTGGCTGACGAGCTGGACGGCTACGAGCGGCAGTACTCGGAGCTGGTTGAGCAGATCAGCCTGGAGGTGGCCCCGTCGGCGCAGCCCAAGCAGTCGACTGGCCCGATCATCAGCCTGCGGGACCTGGTGGGGGGCAAGGAGCTCAGCTTCGAACTCGACGACGACCTTTGCGCGAACTTGCCAGAGGAGTTCGAGATGTCTACTGATGACAAGGAGCAGCTGGAGTCGCGCAAGGCTCAGTTGCGCGCAGGCCTCAAGGACATGGCGAAGCAGGTGTTCGGCAACGCGTCGTCCCAACTTGAAGCCGCTCGTCGTGGGCGCCAGGGGCATCTCAAGCGGTTGTCGAAGAAGAAGAGGAGGACTTTGGAGGGCGAGGCCCCTGGAGGCGCCGACGGCGCTGCAGAACCTGGTCAAGGAGCTAGTGCGACAGCGCCTGGAGGTGCTGAGCGGTCGTCTACTCAGGCTGGTGGTGGAGCCCCAGCCGCCTCTTCTGGCGGCGGCTCGGGCCCGTCGCGGCCTTCGGGAGCTGACCCTGCTCTTAGTGCCAGGCTTTCACGGGTGCTCTCAAAGTCTGGTTCGCCCTTTCGCCCCCCGCCTCCAACGGTGGTGGGGGCGGGGGAAGTGGCTGCTGAAGGTGGGGGGGGGGGGGGGGGGGGGGTCCGATCCCCTCTCGCTCCCCTGTCGGCTCCCCGCCTGGCCCGTCTCCCACCTCGCGCGAGTGTCGTTTTTTTTGTCGGATTGGGGAAGGGCGGGGGTCCAATTTGGAAGGAGCCAACTTTAGTACGAACTTTAGTAATTATCTCTCGGGCCCAGGAGCCCCAGGCCCAGGGCCCAGGCCAGACGACGACTCTCTCGGAAGGGTAGTCGCCGCGGCAAATTGCAATAGCTGGGGCTCGCTTCGCGATTGGCTTCCGTCGGCAGTGACCCCTCGCATCATCTTGGTGCAGGAGCGCCACCTGGCTGACCAAGATTCGATTGGTCGTGCTTCGAAATATTGCCCCGATCATGAGTGGAAGAGCCTGTGGGAGCCTGCGGTTCGGACGGCTGAAGGAGGCGCGTCAGGAGGCGCGGCGATCCTGGCCAGGGCTTTCATGGGTCTCCACCAGCCTCTGCAGATCTACAGTGGCCGCGCTCTGGGTGCTGTTGCTCATCTCCCAGGGGGTGTTCAGTCTGGGCTCGTCTCAGTCTACGGGTTCGACACGGAGGGCCTCGCGGCCAGGCAGTTGGAGCTTCATAGGGCTATTGGCTCCCATGTGGTCCTCGAAGGCCTCTCGTACGTGGTGGGGGGCGATTTCAACCTCGAGCCCCCAGAGCTCCGAGATACGGGCTTCTCGGAGTTAGCTCGATGCGAACTTATTTCGACGGGTGCGCCTACCTGCTTTGGAGCTCGCCAGTCGGACTACGACTATTTCCTCGTTTCTGGAGGCTTGGCTAGAGGTGTGAAGCAAGTGCAGCGATGCGTAGATAGCGAGTTCTCACCGCACTTCG